AGTGCTTGGGACTCTTTAGCTTGGAGAAATGACGGCTGAGAGGTGACATGATAGAGGTTTAGAAGATTATGCATGGGATAGAGCAGGTCAAGAAAGAAGTACTTTTCTCCCTTTCTCACAATATAAGAACTTGTGGGCACTCAATGGAATTGCTGAGCAGTCGGGTTAAAATGGACAAAAGGAAGTACTTCTTCACCCAAAGAGTGATTAACACATGGAATTCACTGCCACAGGAGGTGGTGGTGGCTACAAGCTTGGACGGCTTCAAGAGGGAATTGGATAAACATATGGAGCAGAGGTCCATCAGTGGCTATTAGATAGGAACTCTCGGTCTGGGGCAAGTGATGCTCTGTATTCTTGGTGCTGGGGGGGCAACAGCGGGAGTGGTGGACCTCCTGATGGCACCTGGTATTTTTGACCTCTGTATGACAGAGTGTTGGACTAGATGGGCCGTTGGCCTGATCCAACATTGGCTTCTCTTATGTTCTTATCTGTAGATGCAGTGGTTTCAAGCCCTAAGAAGTAGTTAGACCCAGTGGCTTGAACCCCTGAGAAGTAAGCAGATGTGGTGGCTCAAAACCTCGAGAATGTAGTAAATGTGGTGGGTTGAAAGCTCTGAGAAGTGGTTAGAAGTGGTGACTAAAAGTCCTGGGAAGGAAGCAGATGTGGTGTCTTGAAGCCCTGAGACGGGAGTAGACTTGGTGGCTCGAAAGCCTTGAAAAGTAGTTAGACCTGGTGGCTCAAAAGCCCTAAGACATTTTTAGATGTGGTGACTCAAAGCCCTGAGAAGGACATAGGTGTGGTGGCTCAAAAGCCCTGAGCTTACCCAGTACCCAAACCCCCAAATATGCAACAATGTATGCAGTGCGGTGGCTCAAGTGGTTAAGACGCTGAACTGCAGGCTGTGGAAGGTCAGTAGTTCAGCAGTTCGAGACCTGAGTTGCCGCATGATGGAGTGAGCTCCTGTCTCTAGTTCCAACTCCTGCCAACCTAGCAGTTCGAAAGCAAGAAATTGCAAGTAGATAAATAGGTACCACTTCGGTGGGAAGGTAACAGCGTTCCGTGCACCTTGGTGTTTAGTCATGCCGGCCACATGACCACGGGAACGTCTTCAGACAGCGCTGGCTCTTCAGCTTTGAAACAGAGATGAGCACCGCAACCCTAGAGTCGGACTCGACTGGCTTTCGAGCAAGTGAACCTTTACCTTTACGCAGACATGGTGGTTCCAAACCCTGAGAAGAGAGTAGACATGGTGGGTCAAAGCCCTGAGATGGAAGTAGATGTGGTGGGTCAAAGCCCTGAGACAGAAGTAGACATGGTGGCTCGGAAGACCTGAGTCCACCCTTGACACCCAAACCCCGAAGCGTGCAATGACGTATGTAGATGTGGTGGCTAGAAGCCCTGAGAAAGAAGTAGACGTGATGGCTCAAAAGCCCTGAGAATAAAGTAGATGTGGTGGATCAAAGCTCTGACAAGGAAGTAGACGTGATGGGTCAAAGCCTTGACATGGAAATAAACATGGTGGATCAAAGTCCTGAGAAGGAAGTAGACATGGTGGCTCGAAAGCCCTGAGAAAGAAGTTGATGTGGTGGCTTGAAAGTCTTGACTCCGCCCCTGACACCCAAACCCCAAAGCGTGACCATCCCCACCCAAGGGCTGGCTTGCCCAAGGTCATCCAGCCAGGTGCAAGTGGAGGAGTGGGGAATCAAACCTGGTTCTCCCAGTTTAGAGTCTGTGCACTTAACCACTACACCAAACTGGCTCTCTTACATTAGTCTTCTATTACCAGGTTTGTATTTCTGCTACAAAAATCAGCAGTCACTTAGTGAAACTTGGATTTCTAGTTGTCTTGATTTTGGAATTAGTCTAATAAGGTCAAAGGGATATGTAAAAAGCGAGTCATCTGATCGCCCATAGTGAAAGAGAAGTGCCCACATAAACTTTATATAAACAGAGTTTTGTCTGAGATCATAAAACATAGTTAGCTGACTAGTAAAATGTTTGCAAAATAAGAATTTCTGGAAGCTCATTTGTAAATTTAAAGGAAAATGGTTAAGATCACAACTAAATTTTCTGAGAAATACAAACGTTGAAAAATGTTCCCAACATGGTGCCTGGGAGCACCACGGTGCCCACTGTCACCCCTCCTGGTGTTCGCCAAGTGTTTTTAGAAAGTGGGTGTGTAAAGGTATTTTTGCCAAGAAAACCCCATGGACAGTATCAAAAGGCTAAAAGATATGATGCCGGAAGATGAGCCCCTCAGGTCGGAAGGAGTCTAATATGCTACTGAGGAACAGCAGAGGGCAAGTACAAGTAACCCCAGAAACTCTAATGGCAGAAAGTGAAGAGGACCTTAAGAGCCTCTTGCTCAGAGTAAAAGAGGAGAGCGCAAAAGTGGGCTTGAAGCTCAACATCAAAAAAACTAAGATCATGGCATCCGGCCCCATCACTCCTTGGCAAATAGAAGGGGAAGTCGTGGAAGTAGTGACAGACTTCACGTTCCTGGGATCCCAGATCACCGCAGACTGTGACTGCAGCCATGAAATTAAAAGACGCCTGCTCCTTGGGAGGAAAGCAATGGCGAACCTAAACAGCATGATAAAAAGTAGAGACATCACCCTGCCAACAAAAGTCCACATAGTCAAAGCAATGGTATTCCCAGTAGTCATGTATGGCTGCGAGAGTTGGACTATAAGGAAGGCCAAGCGCCGAAGAATAGATTCTTTTGAACTATGGTGCTGGAGAAGACTCTTGAGAGTCCCTTGGACTGCAAAAAGATCAAATCAGTCAATCCTAAAAGAAATCAACCCTGACTGTTCCCTGGAAGGCCAGATAATGAAACTGAAGCTCAAATACTTTGGCCACCAAATGAGAAGGGAGCACTCACTGGAAAAGACCCTGATGCTGGGAAAGATTGAAGGTCAAAGAAGACGGGGACGGCAAAGGATGAGATGGTTAGACAGTGTCA